ATCAGGCGGTTGTCCCTCAGGCAGAGGATGATAACTTTTTTTGTTTTTAAAGGTAAACTATATTCTTCTCTCATCTATTTCATCTTTCTTGGAAGTACTCATCTATCTCATCCTCTCACTAGTCTGTGTATGTATAGTACAGGGAAACACCAACCAACCCGGGTCTCTCCCCAGCCCACGAGGTAGGTGGGGACCACACCTGTGGTGCGAGAGCAAGGCTGTACCCGTCCCTCATCACGGTGACGAGGGGTGGGCAGGCCATTGCCGCCGTAGAGATTGTACTATGTGCAGTGTGGCTGCGTAGGGGTGAGTGTGGTTGGGCACACAGTGTCGCAGGATCTTCGTGCTGGGGTGGGGTGAAGTGCTCATCTTGGGGCTTCACTTTCACCCCAGCCCACTTAGCCTTATGGTTAGGTGTTTGCCTGCCAAGCCTTTGGTTGTGTGTTCCAGTCTTGTATTCAGATTACAGATTGCCGATGGAGGAAATAGGTGGTGCTAGCGCAGAGCAATGGCCACTGGCCAGTCACTGCACCTCCCCCTACCCCCGCCCAACCCCTCATGGCAGTATCTAATGGCCAATAACTTAAGAGTGGAACCTCTCTGAGCTCTCTCGGTTCCGCTGGCAGCCCTCACCAGCAAACTCCCCAGACTCAAAACTCCTTCCCGGGCTTCCCCTACTTCAGTACATCACTAAGGTGGGTGTGACACATCCAATCACAAAAGTGGTGTACTCCGATGGCCCTGGCCTCTCTAAGATGCAGAAAAGTAAAAGGCGATGGACTGACTGGCATCGTAAGGTTCTCCAAGCGACATCCAGTGACCACGGCAAGCTGCGAAGACCTGGTGCACCAACAATTGTCTGGCGACCATCAATGATCAAGGTAAGTTAATATTGGCACTACGGCTCTGGCATGAGCAGCAGGTCAACCCATCATGAGCAGCTAAGTTAAACTTGAACAGGTATACTGCAGCAAGGATATCTCCAGTCTTGTTTTGTAAGTGGGTCTGGCAGCGTTAGCTGAGAGGACTGGATTTAGCAGGAATCTGCAGTTCGTACGTTTTCAATTATGGGACGTTGGACCCGGTTTCCAGCAAACAATCAGGCTCAGAAGTTACATCAGTGACACCGGGTTGAATTGTTTGTTTTTTTTTTTTGAAAGATCACT